TTTATTTGATTTAATTGAATTAAAATTTAGAATAAGCTAAGACTAAATTGCTAAAAATTTATTTATAGTTATTAGATAAATAATAGTTTAGACCACCGTTATTGAAATTATACTGCTAATAATTCATTTTCAAGAATTTATTTATTGAAATTACATAGCTGTAATATTTTTTAAAATAGTTTATATAGTGCATATATTGCAGATTTAGAATCTCAGTATCAACTAGTATAGCATTAAGAGAAGAATGTGAAATTTATAGAGTTTTATCATATATAGCGCTGAAACTTTAGACAGAGGTTAGAATAATTATATAGAAAGTTTTGCATAGATGATTTGTATCTTATAATTAAGAATTAAATCACAGTTTTAAATAGAATTATGCCATAATTGTTTATAATTAATAATTATTAAGAACATACTACAATGTTAAGTAATTCTAATAATGAAATGCTTGAGAAGAGATCTAATAAATCAACTATTTGTAATACATTAAATTTTTTAATTTTTACCAGCACAATAAACTTCACGAAATCATTCTAGAATAAAAGAGTGACAAAAAGATTTTATCCAAATTAATTAAATCAGAAGAAATATTAAAAAAATTAAGAATAAATATCTACAAACATATCCTAATAACATTATAATACCAAATCTATTAAAATTACATATTTACAAACATGTTCTAATGATTTTTATAAAAACCGATTTATTGAATTATGTTGTAGGTGGAATAGAATAAGTTGATTCAGAATTTTTAAGGTTAGGGTTGAAATTTTTAGTATAATCATTCTGTTCTAATCTAAGTAGATTTTGAACCTTATTATCATTCTATTCCCACTTATAACAAATATACTATATTTTATTATCTAAGTAACTACTATTTTATTTTTTAATATTAATTATTTAGCAGATAATGAATTGATTGAGATAATTTTTAGATAACTGCTAATATTTGTAGTAAGCGAATAATTATCAAAATTTATTCTTTCTAGTAATTTTCAAAATAATACTAAAAATTATAACCTTATATTTTTGCCATTTTAACTATTATTATATTCACTTTTCTTTTCTTTACTTTCCTTCTTTTCATTTTTGTCTTCATTATTTTTACTTTCTTCATTCTCTTCATTTTTGTTCTTATCATTACTTTCATTCTCTTCTCTATCTTCCTCTTTGTTTTTATCCTCTTTATCTTTATTCTCTTTATCTGTTTTATCTACTTTATCAAAATATCCTATATTCTTTATACATTCTAATATTTTTTCCCAAAGATTATCATTATTCTGCCAATACCATATAAACTCAAATAAATAAGCTGAAATTTTAGAACTTGTACAGTTTCTTGTTAGAATCTAAATTAAAACAAAAAAATAAAAAAAAATTATAAAATTTTAAAGAAAGCAAAATAATATTTAAGAGCATTATATTGAATTATACTTAATACAGACTATAATTTAAAATAATACTCTTGAACATTATTTTTATTTTTATCTATATATTACAAGTAGCACCTGACTAGGATTATATATATGCACAAAGATCTAATTTTAGAAGGTATGTATATATATGGTATGGAAATATGAACATGTGAAACTCATGATAGTACGTACAGTTTGTAAAAGAAAAATTCTTTCGAAACAAAACTAATTTTCTTATAACCTCATACAAAAAAAGAGATATTCAGTAAAGTATTACTGTATGCTAGTACAAATTCAGATAGATATACAAAAATTATTCTAAATTTTAATAGTAGACTTGTAAAATTCAAATTTTATAACTATTTTTAATGGTTAGGGTTAGGGTGAGCACTAGTATTGTCCTTTTTTCATGAAATAATTATTAAAAGTAATATGAGTGTATAGTATAGTATTCTATAAAAACGTAAATTTGAACTAATGTGTAGAAATTATAATAGTATAGTTTGTAAAAGAAAAAATTCATAAAACTTAAATTACTTTTCCTATAAATCCTACTATAATATGAAAAAAGAACAATACTAGCACTTACTTTAACTCTAATGACCAAAAAGGTTATTTATAAAAATTAGAACTTGCAAGTCTATATTAACCATACATACGATCAAAATTTAGTACAATTTTTGTATGCTCTGTCTGAATTTGTACTGCTGTATAGTACTACTTTACGTACTAAATATATCTGTATATATTTGTACTAACTACCTACCTTTAGATATCTAAAATAGCAACTTTAGATATTTAATGATTAGTTGATTTAAAAAATTTAAATCAACTAAATTATTGATTTTTTTTTTTCAACAAATATACCATATATTTCTGAAAATAAGCTATATCCAAAAGAAGCTACCTTCTTTTTTTGAAAGAAAATCATAAAATTCTCTTATATCTGAAAATAAGCTACTATACAATTACCAGTAGTTATTCTATAGTAAAGTCAGCATTTTACTAAGTAAATCGATATAGTTTATTAAGTGAAAATTGTTTAGGAGATCAAAATACATATATTTTGAAAGTTTCATGCAAATTGGATAACCTTTTATTAATATATTTTTGCATGTTACGTTCGATAAATTTTTTAAAATTTCTTTAAAATTAATATTTGTTGAACGTAAAAATCAAAAGTCAATTAATAAAAAGTTATCCGATTTATCTGAAATTTTTAAAATATGTGTATTTTCTTCTCCTAAACAAACTTTACTTAATACATATTATCGATTTGCTTAATAAAATTTTTCGGAATTGAGCAAAAATCGATTATATCCAAAAATAAACTACCATTGGTTTTTTGTGTTCAAAATTGTTCAAAAAAGAGTAGCTTATTTTTGGAAATATATGATACTCAAACTTTTTTCAACAATCACTTGTACTAACTATTCACCGAATACAATTTGAAGACTCAAGACCAAAAGTCAGTACCAACCTTAGGTTTTCTTAATACAAACTGTTGTCAACAAAGTCTTTTAATGTGATATATCGAGAAGCAGATATTTTGAACAGTTCACACAAGGGTCAAGTCTTGGTTCTACTCTTCTTGCTTCGGGTGGACTCCCTTATGTATTTGGTATCCAAACTGGAGGAGTCTCTGGGAATAGCAAGTAAAAAGGAAAGCTAGGTTTGTTTGATGATGAAAGGTGGCAAAGAATGATTAGAAAAATATTCTTTAGTTGGATATTCACAATATCTATATTTTTTCTTTTTCAATATTTTGGTCACAATTTTCAACAAAAAGTGGGGAATTCGGCAAACCTCTACCAAAGATTGACAATATTTACTACTTCTATATCAGGAAACTATATGATGACAAAACAATATATATAAAATAGATGGTGCTGGTGAATGAAATAACTGGATTGGATACTCAAAAGGCATATCTCACATGGCATGTTGTTTTTAGGATATACAAATACATGCGATATAGGCATAGAGCTTCAAAGTTCTTATATACTTTTGGACGATGATATGGATTTATTACAAAAAGAAGAAGCAAAGTGAAGTGAGATATACAGATATTTCTATAGTCATATATATATAATTTTTATCTTCTAGCACGAGTTATAGTGCATATTAGTTTTTTTCTTTTTTTTAATATGTCAAGTTTCTTACAACAAGTCAATATGAATAGTTCGTTACTCTGTATAGATAAAGTTTTTACCTGGTTAGCAGGTTTTCTTTATTCTAATGATAGTTTCTTATAAGCTTTTAAATTAGTTTTTAGATTCCTTTTATATTAGTACCTGTTTTTATATATGTATTTGTTTTTGTTTTTATCTTTTTTGTTTTGTTTAAAATTTTTTTTTTCTTTTTTCCTTCCTTACAAGAAAGTGTTATCAGATTGGCGGTATTCTATTGTAGGGTGGAAATCTTGACAAGGCTCGCAAACTGCTAGTCGAGGATTCTGAAGAAAAAAAGTTCAAAGCAAGTTTTGGACCTCTGGAGAAGACCAAGGGTTTGCTCAGGCAGGTCAACTTGGACATAAAGCATAAGCAGTTTAATGGTTCACCCTGACTGCAAGTGAAAGCTTTGGCAACTGTGTGGCTAGCTTGGGTAGTTTAGCTAATAGTTTAAGAACAATAGATTCTGTAGTTAGTATATGCCTTACACTATTGAGGTTTCTTCTCACAAATAAAGCAAACAGATTGCCTTAGG